GCTTGTGGACGCTCCAAAACGTTAATAAGATGACAATCCGATGAACAAACGGCAGGCATCTTCACGGATCGATGTTGCCAGTTTATTCGTGGTTAGTTCCTTCTGAGCCACGGTATTCCAAGGATGACATCAAATTTGTCATCCAATTCCAATACGATAAAGTCATCGTCATATTGGGTATCTTCTTGCGTATAGTGGATCTTCACTATACGCTTCATGACGGTTACGGATGCGCCTGTCGCAAGACGTACCGTCATCCTCGTAGGAGTTGTGTCACATTCACTGAACTTAAAGTGACCATATCCTAGCGATTGGCGTCGCACAAAATTGTTGGACGCCCCACAATCGACTAGAGCTCGAAGGGACAACTTATTCGTCACTTCGAGTTTCAAGGTAATGAGTGAGACCTCATTACCTAGAGCAGCAACGCACAACGTTTGTGTGTTGGGAGCAACCTTCATCAAGAGGCCCACAAATTCTCATGACGTTGCTGGATCAGTAGGGTGCTCCGCACCTACTGATCCTGTCCGTTTTTTGACGTTCCATCCCGTTGTTGCGTCTTTGCACCAACAGCGGACACGCGTCCCTGCCCCTTTCTCATGGGTGGACGGTCACTACGCCCAGTGTTGCGAGATACTGGACGAGGGGCACTACACTCGTAAGCGTAGTGTCCTGTCGTTTGACATCTGTTGCATTTCTGCAACCTTTTGTAGTCTGTAGAGCGAGCCTTCTCGCTCTCTACATAACAGCGTTCCATCGGCTCTGGACCTTCGCTGTCATATTGTCTCGGTGGACGATCTGATGTCGAGCTGGCGCGAGCCTGTCTCAGACTGAAGTCTTCCTGTTCCGCAATGGAAATGGCTTGTTCTAGTGAATCTAGTTCAAGTCGGAACAGGTGAGTCTTGACAGGACCATCCACAAGACCCTGCATGAACACCGAAACCAACGTGTGTTCATCCACCGGATTGGAACTTATACAACTCGTGAGATGTCGTACATGTTGAGCGTAAGCGTGCACATCACGCTTACCCTGTTTGAGCTTCAAGAGTTCGGTTCGAGCTCTGAACTCAGCTCTAGGCGGTTCAAACGTTTGTCTGAGCCGCGACTTGAAGACTTCCAACGACCCAAACGCATATGGGTCGTGCAACTTGAGCCCCAGTGCCCAAGTCTTGGCACGTCCTGCCAGATTTGACTGGGCAAATGCAACTTGCATATCCCCGTCGTCGATGCGACGCGCCCTGATGGCGTCATCCAATTCGACGAACCATCTCAAGAGGGAGTCCTCTTCGACTCCCCTATACTTGGAGATGTCAATCTTCAAGGTCTCGAGTCGACGCGAATGCATCGACCCACCAGCAGTCTGCTGCTGTCTCAACAGTTCAAACTGCTGAGCACCCTGTTCTCTCAACAACTCTGCTTGTTGAGAACCTTGTAGGTGAAGCAAGGCTACTTTCTTGCGTTCGGCGTCAAGTTCATTTTGAATGAACTTGGCGATAGTAGCATGTTGGGCATCTCTATTGAGAGCCTCTAGCATGACGCTAACAGCATGGATGCCCACGGTTGAACCCATCCGTTCAACCGCATCCCATTCGACATCGCTCAAATGGGAGTAGCCGTCACGCGTAGCGTGAAAGCTTTGGTCACCTTCATCATCCAACTTATTCATGTTAGATGTGAACGTGGTCCTTGGACGGACTACGAAGTGCTACCAGGTGTAACGGGGCACCCTGAAGCTTGTACTGGTGACAGTACAAGCTACTTATTCTGATGACAGAATAAGGCGGTGCCTCGGAACTTCACGTACACTCGTACGTGCAGAGGAAGACGGTAAGAAGAAGCGAGTACTTATTTAAAGTAAAAAGTAGAACTGTATTTAGTATAGTTAATGTCTGTTAATAAATCACTAATTATCTTCATCTAACTATGTCTAAATACAAATGTGTAAATCAACTATCGGCTCACCACTTATTGCGTGCGTCTGTCGTGGCGCGTCTTTGTTGGTTGATATGATGGCCTATATCAACCAATTAGGAACGACTCGTAAGTGCAACAGAATATTTGTCATCATGACAATATTCTTAGAATATAACTCTTATAGTATTATTCTACTAACAATTTCTTATAAATTGTTATGAAACGATTCACCCCGTTACAAATATGCAATATACATCGTGCACAAGTCGCCGCATCATTACTCGCTAACAATTACGGGACACTGTGTACGCGTATTGGCATTCAAGCAATTTAACCACGCCTAAGAGTGATGACATCCTCATCTCCTGCAATTAGCGGACAGAGCGATGTGTAGTATCGTATACTGGATGCCTTTATGTCACGCTTTCCATCTTCGTAAAGTTTGTGGGAAACACGGCATTTCCACATATGCTGCCAAAAAAATGCACATCCACTAAGACGTTTTTAAAGAGCCGCCTATGACTTCAAGTGCGATAAGGCTGCCCGTGCTTTGAGCTCGCCACGAGCGATATCAAAGTGTACCGGAACTGAGCTTGTGTTGTCGATGTGCGAGCGGTATTTACACACAGTGCGACGTATCGCCCCGTTTTATACAGCCACGCCACGACTGGGGAATCTTGATGCTAGTACCTTAATGCTGTTCAGGTACTAGCGTCAAGCCTGATCCAACTAAATTTTAACCAATGCATCGTGTATCTCAAGTGTCGGGTCCGTATAGAACAGTTGTATCTCTCGATCTGCAGGTTGCCCAAATTGCCAATGTGGGCTCTGCGCTATTACTCAGTATCAATCCATTTTCGCTTTGAGCACAAGAGGCATCAGCGCTTACCGAAAAGACACAAATGTAGCGGAAGTCGTCTTTCGCGTTTTTAACGAAGTGTACAGATCACATCTGCTTTTTCACTGAATCAGGCACGTTTATGTCGTATCCTCGGGCTTTCGCTTCGGTGTCATTACCCCGAAGTGCACGCTGGCGTATGAGCACAAAAACCATTTCAATGATGTATGTTGGCTTCAACCGTGGAAGATTTTTTTGTTGTTATGCAATTAAAAAAAAACAAATGATACGACACTATGGCTACGCAGTCCAGCGCGCTTGAACCATATTTCCATACATCATCTGGATCATATCAATCTCGTCGACGAGAGAGCAAACATGGTCATTCCAAGTCAGTGGGGTACAAGTCATTATATAAGGTCACCATTCCCTCGCCGAACGCGCATTCCTCTTTTATGTCTCCACTCATACTTCTCATACTTTTACTCATTCAGTCGCCGTGCTTCCTGCTGTTTTAGTGCCACAGTAATGGCGGCCTCGTTGTTGTTTTCTAGTCCTCCAGGATGGCAGTCGCCGTGTCATGACCTGTCTCCACCCGCTGTGCATTCCAATATATCAAAAACTTGTCGGGTTCGCAAGGCATATGTTTGCTGGTAATAGGGTCCTTGTCGGCGATCCAGTCGAACTGGTGCGGTCCCAAGTTCGTTGCTTTGAGTAATTCGCCAACGTGCAAGAATGCTTTACCGTCTAAAATTTGAGATTATGTATTTGGGTCTACAAGCTCAATCAAAAAATTAACGGACGTATCTCGCGCGCTTTCAGCGCTGTAGCGCTACGTGAGCATGCGGACTTGGAAGATGTGGTACTCACATTACTTTCTAATTGCAGATATAATTGTATTTGATGGTAAGACGTACACCATTCGAATCCGATGGCATGCCAGCCTTAGTAGCTAAACACTGGTATTCTCGCACTCTACTGCATAGACTCTCCTCATTACCTCGCGCATGTCATCTCCTCATCGTCGCAGCGCACCCACAGCTTCTGAGATTTTCGTGGGCGATCCCTCCAAGCGGTGCTCGAACGGTAAGCCTCTAGATTCACGAAAAAAAGTGAAGCAATCATGCAACCATAGTCAGTACATCACAGCTCATTAAGTCTGGCCGGGATTATGGATCAAGACGAGGCAACTCAAAGTGCACCATGCAGCGCGACTCGAGCACAACACCTGCCAAAAGCAACCAGACTGTCGGGGGGGCATTGATGTTCTTATTCTTGAGCTACCCGCATGCAGAACTGGTTTGGAACAAGCAGGTCGCAAACTGGACGGGGGAGCTCTCATTTCTCTAGCAAACCTAAAAGTACTTTAACACGCACTCCTTTCTTTAGCAAAATCAAAAGTTTTTGTAGCACGTGTGCCAGCAGACGCATCGTCAGCATACCCGTGCACTGGGAGGCCCTCCTAGTAAACCGGACTTGGGGGAATCGGGAAGCAGCTGACGGATGTACAAGCAAAATTTGGCACATTCTCGTGATGACCTGTCGAATTGAACTTTTGACTGACTAGACAACGCGGTCTATCAGGCAGCCGCGCAAGACATCACAAGCACCTCAACAAGTTCATGAGCTACATGCATCTGCCAACTCGCGCAATTACGACACGACAAATTTGTGGAGTGCCTTCTACTATTAAGAGTGCCATGCCGTATGCAAGCATCAAGTAACTCAAGCACGCACCGAGAGAGTCACCACATATTACTGGGGCCGTCCCCAGTCAGCCTTCCTCCGGCTTCTGACATCATGGCTCAAATTTGCATGAAGCTAAATTCCGTGTAAATAGACCATTGAAATAAAAATAACGAAGCGCATGTGTGCGGAAACACATCTGTGAGCATGCGCGCAGGAAATTGCACGAATAACGAGAAGCACCTGAGTTTATCTCGATAGTGATGAAACAGGTTACAGACTACAGTGGACTGAACTTGCATACAACAAAGGTTCTACAGTATATTTACACCCTATTCATGCGATAGGGCATGCAAGAGAACGTCAGAAGTACATCTAACGTTGTGTGACTCACATTGTGTGACTCACGTTGTGCTATACTGGCGTCAGCACTCGCATACCCGCTGTCACCTACCCGTTCAGACTCAGGCCGTGTCGCTCTAGAAATTTCTTTCTCCAGGGAGTTGACGCCGTAAAGAGCGTGCTATCAATTCCCAGCTCCTTAGCTACCTCCAAGGCATGCTCAGACACCATGGCTCCGGTTACAGGCACGCCCAGCTTTTTGCAGCGACCGCAGCCAGACGACGATGCACTTCTCAGCATCACTGCTGAGTGTAAGGCCGAGTCCTGGCTTGCGCAGCCGATGCGCCTTAGCAGAATTGGCGGACTCACAGGCTTTTGCGATCTTGTCGCGGTCCTTGACCCAACTGTAGATGACGCGCTTTTTGCTGCGTTGAGCTTGCACAGAAAGTGCCGGGAAAAAGTGCTCCACGGTCGACGTCATGTCGCCACCTTCTTCGAAGTGCTTGATCGTCGCCAGCCGCGTCTCGAACGTGGTGGACGTGCGGACGTTTTTGCGCTCCTTGCGCCCACCGTCTTTTTTTAGCGGCTGCCGTCCCATCACTGTATTTTACGTGTTTTTTGGGACTATGTTTCCGTAAGCACTAACTGCCACGTTAGTCAAGGAAATAGTCCCAAGTGGACTATTTTTAAGAACTGTTAGATTCAATCGCTTTTTGGGTTGTTTCACTTTATTTTCTTTTGTTAAGTAAACACGTGTAGTAATAAGCTGCCATTACTTTTCATTTTGGGCTAAGTATACTTGTTTACTTTCCGATAAAAACCACACCCTCGCAAGTCAATCTTTTATCAAAAATACGACATCGCCCAAAGGCCAAGCAGCCCCGCCAATTGCCATTGCATTTTGAAAGGGCCACTCCATGACGAAAAATACAGAGGAACTCTCTTGATTACGCTATAAGCCCATGACTGTATGCATATTGGATAAGCAGCGTCTACGTCTATTGATGACATACTATTTCTACTTACTCCTCTACTGAAAATACTTCAAGGCCACAATGCTAAACCCTTAAGAGCAAACACTCTTACAAATATCTTAAGGCATTCAACAATTAAGATGCACAATTCCAACACTACAAAAAGATAGATTAAAAGAAGGATAAAAGAGAAGACGAAATTAAAGGTGTGATGGCAATTAGACAAAATTAATGCATTTATGCGCATTTACGAATCAGTGTAATCACCATTTAGATGCCACATGACAAATAAAATGAGGCCAGATAGAATAACTAAAATTGAAGTAACTAGTGGCTAACATTGTAGTTCGCTATTGTCCTAAATGCCGCGCAAAAAAACTATTGCAGTTCTTCATCGTGTAGATACATTTTCGTGTCAATAACGATAAAAATGCGCATTTACGTGAAAAAGCCTCCGCTTGTGATTTAGTCAATTAATATGAGCTGTTACGCCCTTTCTAAATCTTGGCCAAAGTCAAGAGTCGCTGTGGCATCTATTCTACTCTCGATAACTTTGAAATGCATCATTTAAAGTGGTGGCTAACTTTGTGCCACATACACCGCGAGTGAAGAGTGACACGTGGAGAGTGACAAATGGTACAGATCGAACATTTCGTAGTATAAGAGCCATTTTTAAAAATTATGCGGACGACTGTCCTACCCGGTACTATATTGAGGTTCGTGCACGATCATGGCTTCTTTTTAAAGCAAGATCGTGCTGTATTATATGGTACGATTAGAGGGTAGATTTTGCATATACTTTATTCAATCAGAATAGGCTGCTCTAATTGTTTACTTGACGAAAACATTGGGAGTGAATCTGACCAAAATAGAGGGTGAATCCAAAACCTCTCCTATTTAAGGCTATTTTAGTTAGGGCGGGATATGGTTAAAGATGATAAAACATGGTGACATATGCGTGCATATATCTTTGACGGATTGCGGACGTTGTTCTGATGTGTCGTCCGTCTCGAAACTTTGTTAAGTCCATTCCAAACAAACCTGATTTGAAGCAGTATTCAATACCTTCCAGCCATGTCGCAAAAATGCATCTTCGTGGCACCACTATTGCTTGGAATATTTTTGGCAAATTGGCTGCGTAATAATACCTTTTCTAGGCTTACGCTGTCTGGACGGACACGTTGCGAAGCTCGTGCGCAGCTGATATACGCCGTCGTTGCCAAAAATTGTGACTACACAGCATGTGTCTTACGCGATCGAATTACTTTCATTGATGCTGCTAATGTCACGGATTGCATGTCGTTGCACTCACAGGGCGACCAAGAATCTGTAGACCCGCGTGACGTCAAAAGTAATTATAGCTATTTCATACTGGTGAGATGAGCAGGTTCACTCAAATGTCTCTGTATGACCCGAATAATCTCTTACAGCCTCACCGGCATGGCTGGTACCAGCCCTATATCGTACTCCTACATAATAAGGGGCACTTTCATACAATAAAAATGTTACGAGCAAAGTGTAGATAATCACATCGGCAAGATGAGCCACATCCCTCATATATGTCTTATCAAGCTAGCTTTCACGTGTGCATGCGACGACATTCATCGCCGCACCATCCACAAGACGGTGTGGTTTGCGTTAAAGAGGCTGGAGCTTTAGATTATTTGGGGGCAGCTCCCCTACTAATGTTACTCGAGACGCTTGACTCGCAAAATATATGTGCTTATCATTTAGAATAGAAAAGCATTATGCACCCACCTACCTCGTGATAACTAGCCACCCCGTCACACTTACAATGCCCTGGTTGGTCAATTAAATACTTGTGATGAATATTTTAATCCCTGATTGTTCAGACAGGTAATGTGAACGGACACTTTTCCACCTTAAGCAGGCACATACCGATGCTCACCTTCCTCTTGCAACTTATCCTTTTGTAACGGGGTGAATCGTTACATAACAATTTATAAGAAATTGTTAATAGAATATTACTATAAGAGTTATATTCTCAGAATATTGTAATAAGGACAAATATTCTGTAGCACTTACGAGTCGTTCCTAATTGGTTGATATAGGCCATCATATCAACCAACGAAGACGCGCCACGACAGACGCACGCAATGAGTGGTGAGCAGATAGTTGATATACACATTTGTATTTAGACATAGTTAGATGAGGATAAACAGTGGTTTATTGCAGACATTAACTATTATAAATACAGTTCTACTTTTTACTTTAACCAAGTACTCGCTTCTTCTTACCGTCTTCCTCTGCACGTACGAGTGTACGTGAAGTTCCGAGGCACCGCCTTATTCTGTCATCAGAATAAGTAGCTTGTACTGTCACCAGTACAAGCTTCAGGGTGCCCCGTTACACCTTTCGGACAACTCCTTGTTATTAAAACCCTTTCACCTTATCTGACACTAGCACAGGCTTCTCTTGCTGAGGCTCAAGCTTATCTTATTTGCTTTTTCAACTCCTTACAGTTTTCAGTGTTTAGGCCGACTGCTTGCACACAATAATTGAGGTCCATAACCATGGCAGCATGAACATTTGAGTGATGACGCGTCATAAGGTGTAGCCACGATGTCTCCACATTTCTAGGTGAAAGACAGCAAAGTGCTATTATAACAAAAAATTCCTTTTGTGTCAAAATCCTACCTACGCAAAGCTTAAACTTAAGCGTATCTAGTAAATTCTCTGGTTCCAAACATTATTTGGTCGAGCTTAAGTAAATATATCGTGACTCTGGCACACCCACGACGAAAGATATTCGATCAGCTCTCCCTAATACAAGCAAGTCGCGCGGCTCCGCAAACTGCTCTGAGTGCAACATTAGGTTGATATTGTTCTCCCAGCCGCACATTACATTAAATAAGCCAAACGTGAGTTTCATATGCTGCAGCGTTTCCTCGGCGTTCGGGTGCTTGACCAGCTTACACTTCATAGCGAACGTGCGACGCATGCTGTCCAACGCAGCAAAGCACACTTCTTTTTAGCCACCAAGTCGCCTAATGAGAAGAATTTAAGTAGCTAATTAGGAGGCAGAAAAAGTTCTGTCATCGTCGTCTTCGTCGCTTACCTTTATGTTCGACCGCTGCTCTTCCCCATCGCATCCTTAGCAGTGGCATTAGTAAAGCACTGGCACGCAATGAGATACATGACCTCCTGATTTGGGTTGCGGAGCAGCCTCCAGAGAAAACATCTGTTCTTATCAGCTTCAAGCAAAGACATGGCCAAGTCCGTCAGGGCTATCATGCTCTGCACGCCTGGCAGATAAAGTGTAAAGAGGTTACACATAGTAGGGTACTCGATACCCTGAGTCTTTGACACAAGGGTGTGTGTGGTATCCCACTGAAAGAGATAAAAATGTCTTATCCGAAAATAGGGGATGACGGGTGTCAGCCACAAGACAGAAAAGATCTTAAAGAAATTAAGTTAGGACAGTTGTGCTTAAATTAGGGAATAGTAGGATTATGAAATTCTACAGAGTTAAACATAAACTGTTTTGGTTCCCATTTTGATCTTGTCTAAGACACTCGCCTTGCGAGGGCTTCTCTGATCGTCGAGGGCTAGCAACAATTCTCTGACGTAGCTACTCTTGAGCGCTAAGTGCAGAGGATTCACTGTATCGTTCGGTACTATGGAACAGGGACCTTAAGCTTTACGCTTGTTGACTCATAGTACACTTCTTTGAATCTAATATCGCTCTTTGAGCACTAAGTCTTCCTCTGACTGACGGAGCTGTGTTTAGATCCGCTACACGTGGCAGCTTTTGTTGTCAATCTACGCCTGATTCTTCTAAGACTGATCCTCTGTAGGGATGAAAACCCCCGCTTCCCTCTCGGATACTTAAAGGTCGCGCTTGATAACCTGACCGCATCTTTGGGTTCAGAGTATGTGGACATTTAAGAATCGCAAGGCATGGAGGTTCAAACGTCACCTGTTGAGGGCTTCTTGCAGTATGAATTGTCCTTTCTAGGGCAAAACAAACGTTAAATGGCGTCGGCTATGCCTACACGCTATGTATCTGTTTCAGATGAAGAGGCTAGGCCTCGTCCACTTAGAGTGTAAGTTAAGAATTACTACGGTCAGGAGGATGAAAATCTCATCCTCTGGATCTGTGAGATTGAGATGGCTATGAGATCAGGCCTGATCAAGCTTGACCATCAACAGGTCTTGCTTGCTATCTTAGAGCTCTATGGAAGAGCTAAAGACTGGCCTTGTCGTGTAGCACGTCGGTCTACTCAGCGTTTTACACATGGGAGTCGCTTAAGTCACAATTGGTACAGGTGTTATCACCGCCTAACCAAGCTTACCGCCTGTGTTCACGATTTTTATCCACCCTTCAATGTAAGAATGAGTTATCGGACTATGTCCAAAGGTTGATAACTTTCATAGCTGCAATGCAGTCCGACCCTCGACCTGAGGCAGTCCATGTGATTTTATCATAAAAAATCTCGGGACTGGCATTGCCAGAATCGAAGTATTTCGGGTTCACTTCTCTTCATTCGAAGAGTAAAAATTGCTCTTTTTGCTATGCATAACTTCTGGTCGGCCCAAATTAGCTGCAGTGGGTGCAACTCCAGCTCTGCAAGAGTAAACTCTACGAATACTTTGGCCGTTT